TATGTCCCCCAAGGGCATTGCCCCTCAGCAGAGCTTGTGATATGCAATACACAGTGTGCCTGTTCCAGTGATTGGCCCTTGGAGATTTCACTGGCAACACATCCTGAGCAGGCAGTCAGCCACACAGGTCTGCTAGAACATGAGTCTATTATGCTCTTTGATCCATCTGTACCCATTCTTTGAATGTAGATTAGCTCATGCAAATTGTACACACAATAGCCTAACCATTTCCTGTTGGTTCCAAAGCCCATGCTAAATCAGCTCATGTCTATTCATAATCACATTGCTGGAAAATCATGAGCACTGTGAATCAGTGACTTTTCCTCACGCCCGTTTCTTGCTCCTGTGATACATAGGGAAATTCATTACAGTGTTTTAATGGGTTCTGTGCCATTTCTCTGGATTTCAGGGATTTGCAGCAATGAGAAATGAGAAGGACTCCAAAGAACAAAGGGGATTGGAGGCAGAGGCAGAAAGAACTGAACATAAAGAGGATAGTCTAAAACAGGGGTAGGCAACCTATGGCACGCGTGCCAAAGGTGGCACACGAGCTGATTTTCAGTGGCACTCACACTGCCCAGATCCTGGCCATCGGTCCGGGAGGCTCTGCATTTTAATTTAATTTTAAATGAAGCTTCTTAAACATTTTAAAAACCTTATTTACTTTACATATAACAATATAATATAGATTTATAGAGAGATACCTTCTAAAAACGTTAAAATGTATTACTGGCACGCAAAACCTTAAATCAGAGTGAATAAATGAAGACTCGGCACACCGCTTCTGAAAGGTTGCTGACCCCTGGTCTAAAATGAGCTGCCAAACTAGTGCGGTGCCCCAGCACTAAATTAATCTAGCAGGGAATCCCAATATTTAAATGCAGAAAACTAGATCCTGGATGCCAACAGAAATTCCTGCCCTTGTGTGTTACAGGCCAAAAGAGACCATTGCATTTTGCCCCAACGTGAGTGGTGACCCATTTCATAGGCTAATGGGAGCTTTCCAGAACACCAACCCACCCCATTCCCATCTTTGCAGCATCCTCCTTTTCCAAGAGCAAATGAATCCTGCACCAAAGAGCGGCCTTGATTTAGTATTGAATAAGGACTGGGAATGGCTGAGCCATTACAAACATTCAATCTATCTCCCCTTGTAAGCATTCTCACACTTCCTATCAAACTGTCTGTACTGGGCTATCTTGATTATCACTTCAAAAAAAATTTTTTCACTTACTTAATTGGCCTCTCAGAGTTGGTAAGACAACTCCCACCTGTTCATGCTCTCTGTATGTGTGTATATATATCTCCTCAATATATGTTCCATTCTATATGCATCCGAAGAAGTGGGGCTGTAGCCCATGAAAGCTTATGCTCTAATAAATTTGTTAGTCTCTAAGGTGCCACAAGTACTCCTGTTCTTTTTTCTTGAAATCAATGTGTCCTGAACCACATGATCATACCATAAGACATCAGGTTGGATTCGCTTTCCCCACTCAGGCCAGAGGAGTCAGGGAAGGGGAGCCCAGGAAAACCCTCTCCATGGCTGTTGCTAATGAAAGGTCAGAATCAGGTGTATTTTGTGAAAGCCTTGAGGCCATCTGTTTCTGTTACAGGGACTCCCCTGGCTGCTCCATCATACCAAACATGACTGACAGATTATTGATTCAGGGAGGATGTTGTGAATTTGTTTTTCATCTGCAATCCAGTAAATTAAACTTGAAGCTTAATCCTCATTTGTCCAGTCTCCTGGAAGAAAAGCCAAAGGCCCTGTTCTCAACTGAATCCATCACCTGCATGTATAACTAGCTCTTTTGGCAGACAGAGGAAGGAACAAAACAATCAATTGTGCAGAGAGGGTGGTTCCTACATAAATCAGAGATCAATCCCATATGAAGGCTTCCACACTCAGGCAATTAGTGCTGGATATATTGCTTGCTTTATCGACTTATCCGCAGGGGGCTTTTAGAAACACATTAATTAATACCTCTGTGGGCTGTAGTCCACGAAAGCTTATGCTCTAATACATTTGTTAGTCTCTAAGGTGCCACAAGTCCTCCTGTTCTTCTTTTTAGTGGCAAAAACTGTTGTTTTTCTGCGTTGTTGCCAGCACATCGCATCAGAGAGTTATTCAATTAGTATGACAACACACACACCCACCCAGTGCTCTCATATGCCAAGAAGGGTTTGTTCCCTGGGAGGTTTCCTTCCACCTTCTTCCCAGTGAATGGAAATGCTGCCCTTTGTCAGGGGAAAGGGGCCTTAAAGTGAATGTACGCTTATTAGCATAACTCAGAACCAGCTTGCTGGAGTGTCTGTTGGTCCAGCGTGAGTTCAAGGGGCAATAATATTATAGTAGCATGTAGGAATCCCAGCTGAGATTGGGGCCCCTCTGTGCTGGGGCCTGTACATATGCATAGTGAGAGACCATCTTTGCCCCCAAGAGCTCATGGGTCTGAATTAGCAAGACAGAGGAGGGTGGGTGAAGAGATATATCCTACCCATTTTACAGAGGGAGAATTGAATCACAGAGAGGTGAAGTGACTTGCCTGAGGTCACACAGCAAGTCAGTAGCAGAGCAGGGAATTTAACCCAGATCTCCTAAATTCTGTTCTATACCTAAGCCACAGGACCATCCTTCCTCCGTTAAGTACTATGTGCTGATTTCTCCTCCCTCAGAGCTCACCTGACATAGCAGAACAACGAAGACCAATAACACCGAACATGTTTATAGACATTTCCATTTTCAAAGCATTACCCATAGACATTAACTCAGTAATCTGCACAATGCCCTAGGGAGGTAGTGTTCTGGGGAAACTGAGGCACAGAGTGGCCAACTAATATACTGAATGGCACAGAGAGGCAGGATTAGAACTCATGACTAGACTACGCAAGGAAGAGTTACCATTAAAACAACTTCAGGAAAAGAATTAATTGAACATCTCTGTTTATAACTTCGTATCATAGACATTTGAGATGGGAAGTCCACTCAGCCTCCTTTCTAGTCAACGCAGGGCTCCCCCTATGGATTGTGTAGTACCGGAACAGGCGATGGATCGTGAATAGGCCACGTGGCGTATTGAAATCCTCACTGAGTTATCCACCTCACCCCAGCTCTGTCTCAGATCAGAGCAGCAGGGAATGAGAACATGGCTGTTTACTGGACTGGCCGATTCCAAGGACTCTCTGGAGACCACGCAGGGTGCAGCTACATTGCAGTGTACACTGGGGTCTGTGGGACCCACAGCTGCAGACTTGGTCTTTCCAAGACTGCACTTGTGCTCCTCCCTGCATTGTGAACCCGGGTTTACAATTGCTGGACTAGGCTGGAATGACAATACTACACACAGACCCAACTCAAGTCACCTACAAACCCAGGCTTGAGCTGCATCCACACTGCAAAATGACAGGGCTTGGCCCTGAATCCCAGTGGGACTTGGGCTTGAACCCACCCCCTAAGACCTAAGGGCCAAGTCAGCAAGATTTGTGCGCCAGAAGATCTGGGAATGAGCGACAGGGGATGGATCACTTGATGATTACCTGTTCTGTTCATTCCCTCTGGGGCACCTGGCACCACTGTCAGAAGACAGGATACTGGGCTAGATGGACCTTTGGTCTGACCCAGTGTGGCCGTTCTTATGTTCTTTTGTGTGTGGACGTGGGAGGAGGGGTTGGACTCAAAACCAAGCATGAGCCCAAATTTACAAGGCAGTGTGGACAGATCATGGGTTTCCAGCAGCACCAGATGGCTCTCATTTTCACTTTACATGTTAGACAACTATTACCCTAATGGGATCTGCCATTCGAGCTTCACTCTCAAACCCATTGCCAGGGTGCAAACAGGATCTGAAGGGATGTGATTCGCTGGGAAAGGCTCAGGGTCGGCAGCTATCATGACTTTGAGGTGGGAAGCCAAGCATACTAATGAACCTCTGGCTGTTTGGGGCAGTGCAGAATTCTGCTGCCCTTGCGGGAAGGAGTGAAGGGGGTTATCAGTGCAGCCAATGCCAGGCAGAGAGGTGCTAGTGGAGGTAGTTTGAGCAGTTCCTTTTTTTGTCTCAGTCTCTCACTGAGTTCAGGGAGATGGGTCGGAGGGACGCAGCAGGAGGGAAATGATACTTCAGATGGATATTGCACAGAATGGGCCCTATGCTGATGCAAATCAGAAGTAACCCCACTGGCGCTGATGGATTGACATTGGTGTTTGAAGTTTTTGGTCATGTGAAAAAAAGGTTTTGTCAAAGTTTTGCTTCAAAAATTTTCAGGTTTCATTGAAAACCCAACCCCTCTCCCCCTTAACTGAAACCAATCCTGACCAGGACCTAGAAAATTTAGTTGGAAAGTGGTATTTCTCCTAGAATTTTACTTTTTGATAAAAAAGCCATTTTTCCCTCCAAAACCTGTTCCAAATGAAAACTAGCAGCTGTAGGTGTGAGGGAGAGCACGAGCAGCCCTGTGTTCCTTGCTCCACTTTTCTAGGATTTTAGCACATACCATTTCCCGGTTAGTGACTGGTATTTTGCATATGCTTCGGCCAGGCTCAGACTGGAATCTTGGCTGCACTTGGCTAGGAGTGAGGCCTGTCATTTTGAACTGGTTTGCCCAATGACTGATATCCCAGCACATCTGGTCTTGCAAATGAGAGTAGCCAGCAACTTAGAAATGTGACACTCCCGTCCTATCTGAAATGCCATAATGCAGCCCTATGTGTCTATTCCTGCTGCCTTCCCACAGAGTAGTATCTGGTATTCAAGCCCTCCCCTGGATTTCACCGGAGTCCCAATGATTTGAGGGTGGTGGGTGGCAGAGGAGGGTACCAGGGAACATAAGGGCAGCAGACTCAGACCTTAATGCAGCTCAGGGTTGGAGAGTTCTAGTGGCGTGTTTATACAAGACCAATCCAGCAAACCCATCCCGCGCACCAGGGCATTTGTCGTAGCTGCCTC